CTGTCCTTAGCTGGAAAAGGGACCCAGATCTTCCTTTACTAATTCTGGGCTAGGCAGTTGCCCCTGATTGCGGGCAGTTGGCTTGCATCCCCCACAGAGGATTGCGCTTGCTTCCCAGTGCTGGTTCACTGCTTCAGGTGCCTCAGCCCCCAGCCCAACTTTTCCTGGACAACCCCACAGCTCTCCTGCCGTCGCCGCCGCCTCCAACTTCCCCTCCCCTTGGCATTGCTTGGCTTTAACTTTTCTCAGCTTCTTTTCTTGCCGGGCTTGTTGCTGGGAGGTTCAGTGGGCAGTGGCGGTTCCCGCTGAGAAGCTGGAGGAGGAGAGGGGCCCGGGTGGAGTGCGGGAGGCGGCGAGAGGCGCTGGCTTCTGTAAACCCTGCCTGTGGGGGGCCGAGGAAGGCTGGGCACTAGGAGGAGGCCGAGGTGGAGGAGGCCAGGGAGGGGTGATGGTGGTGTTAAATGTGGCCGCACAGCTCCCCGGGGAGCTGGCTGAAAGGAGAGTGCGCTCACCAGCTGACAGCGCGTGCTCCGCTCCAGACGCGACGCACCGCGGCCAGGAGCCTCTGCCAGCCCCTCTATTGTCAGAGTCCTCTAATTAAGAAACACTCACATTACGGCAAACTACCCCCACGCTTCTTGGTTCCTGTCCTTTTCTTTATCTTCCTTCCACTTCTTCCCTCCCCTGTCTCTTGCCTGCTTCCTAGGATTTAACCCATTCTTGTTAGGGGCCTGGAAGAACGAAGTGGCCCTGGTGTGGGACTCTGCTTGGCCCAAAGGTGAGCATAGAGTCAGAAATGGAGAGGAAAACTTACCCCTTTCATTTTAATTTTATTTAAAAAATTTTTAATCAACCCCCACTCTCCATGTCCTAATTCTTCTCAGAAAAACAATTGCAAGCATTTCGACTTCCACAGTCAGCTTTAACTGTCACCGGCACTTACTGTTTTTTTCTTCTACATTGTAGTTGACAAGCCTAGATTGTAATTGACAAGTAGGTTTGCTACTTTCCCTTTCCAGTTCTAACTGGGGTTTGAAGCAGGCAAAGCAAACCTGGTCATCTTTTTCTGTATTTTCAATGAGCAGAGGAGAGAGATAATACAAGTTATCCTTTGGGAAAAGACTGCCTACTTGATTGGGTTTAAAATCTCTAAAATCAATAGAAGGCCCCATGAAAGTATTGGTCCTGCACTGGTTAAGAATAAGGAAATTAGCTTCCCCCACCCCCTTTGTTTCTGGTTGAGCTAGACCCCTAGTTAGTTAGTGATGTCCCGTGGTGAAGAAAGTGTTAAACTTGTCCATTGCCAAAAAAATCTTCCTTCAGCCCTCCATGAAATCAAATAAGTTTCCAAAAGTGTGGCGAGCCAAAACCCTTCACAAATAAAAGTGGTGGTGGGGTGGGTGGCAAATGCAAAGTATAAAGCAAGCTGCTTCAAGTATATAAAAGTCAAGAGAGCACCAGCAGTGTCGCAAAAGACTAACCCGATTTATCTATCTTCATTACTTTAAGAAATGCTGCCTCTTTGTTTGTTTGGGTGATATTAAGCATGCTTAACTTGCACACATACTTGATTCCTTTGCTAGTATCTTGGATACTTGGATCTGATTTGGAAGGTAGAAGCTAATTGCTAATAATGGAGAGAAAGGAACCAGTCAGCATGGCAGGAATGGTCTGGCATATGGGGAATGAGCGCTCAGAAATACTCAATATTCAAGTTTCCAAAATATTAATGAGATTATAGCAACCTGCAGCTATATGTTACAGCTTGTTAATGGAGTGTAAGAGAGCGAGCTGCCAAACATTTGTTATGCAAACTCCATAACAGAACCCTAAAATTGAAATGTGATTGCACATCTCTTTCAAAGAAATGCAAGGATAAACCAAAAAGGAAAATGAAGAAAAGAGTTCTCATTTGAATTTTGAGCACTCAATTTGTCACAAAGTGGGTTGACTTTTTGTTCCTGTCTGGATGACTGAGAAGAATTCATCATCACTTTTCAATCTGTATCATACAGGATCTTCAATTTGATATTCTGTTACAGTTGTTTTGCTCTTGAGAAGAAATGGAAAGACTTCCTTAAATGAAGGGGGTTATCTCCAATTTGTATGTAAAGCCATTAACATTTAAAAATATCGATTCTACTTATTATCTTATTCTGTTAGTGCTACCTCCATTTGAACATTTGGATGGATATAGTCCCTAATCATTTATTTTGTCAGAGAAAATTTAGTGGGTGTGTTGGCCTGGCAAAAAAGAATACTAAGCTCTAATTATGCTAGTCTATGAAAATAACTTTGATGAAATCTTCTTCTTTGGTGATAAAAAAATGGACATAAATTATGAAAGTTTAAATATTGTTTTCTTTGAAAAAAATTATTTTCTTCCTCTATATCCTTTTCCTACTCAGACTCCTAACAGATGAAAGAACTCTAGGTCTCTCTCTCTCTCTCTCTTTCTCTCTCTGCGTGTGTGTGTGTACAGCAAAACCTGCCGAGCCAAATAACTACAAAAAATTATGTGCTTGCCTCTTGCAAGGTTGCTGTATATCCATACCTGTTCGGTTTGCTTATTGCGAGAGAAATGGAAATGTGTTAGAAGCCATCGCTTGATTTATTCAGCAGTCCAAAGATTCCTGATGCTTATCGTAGCACAGAGAACTCCCTTGGTGCAAAAGGTTATCTAAGGGACAGGTGCATTGTTTCTGCCCCTGGAAAGTGTCACGAGCCGCCGCTCACCTCTCCCCTAGAGCTGGCGGAGGCGCTCAGCTTCCCTTGATCGGCTTCGGCTGAAAGCCATGGATACCCAGGTGGTCAGTTGAAAGTCAGTTTTGCGGCTGGTTCCCCGCTCCACATCAGTACTGCGCTTCCTGGAGCATTACTGTTTTCTTTTTCTACAAACCCAGGTTTGGCGCTCTCCTCTTCTCCAGGTGCTGACAGAGGAGGATGCTGGAGCCAGCGAGTAAACTAAATTCCCATGGCTCTCTCTGTCTCTGTCTCTCTCTCTGTGTCGCGCTCTCTCTCTCTCTCTCTCTCTCTCTCTCTCTCTCTGTGTGTGTGTGTGTGTGTGTGTGTGTTCCCCTCAATTTGTTATCCCAATGAAGACAATGATTTTGCTTAGAATTAGCCTTTAAGTTTAGCGACGTTTATCTAGTGGAATGTTGCTGAATTTTTAGTTTAATAAATAGTTCCACTTCTATCTTTGCCAAATCCAAATGTATTTTTTAAATTCCGCTTTCTACTCTGTATATACACACTCTACTAGCTTTTCTAAAATATATGATCATGACACCCAGAAGAGACTTTTCCTTAATGAGGACACCTGAGAAATGAGACTGGTAACATCGCTAAGTTTCTGCAAATGACTTTAAAACGTAATTGGATGTTTTCTACACAAAAGCTAATTCAGAAGGACAAAATACAGGGAAACATTAGTTTCTACATTGAGCGAAGTAGAGTTACTTGAAAAGAAAACTTGAGTGGCGGCCAATTTCTGAGACCAAGTAGAGTGCTTCCAATATTTGAATCAAGATCGTCAATGTCTCCCTTCCCTTGAGTTCCTTTCCTTTGTCCTCTTTCCTTCTTAGGTGCTCCCAATCCCAAAGAAGAGAAAGGAGGAAGACTGGGAAGAAGGGAGGAGTGGGGAAGGAAAGGGAGGGGGGGGGAGAGAGAGAGAGAGAGAGAGAGACTTGTGCTGTGTATTTGACCTATATTGACCTATGTGAAAATTTTCATTTTCAGCGCAGCTAGTTTTTAGGAGTGAAATAGCTAACCCTGGTAAAGTTAACTACTAACTAGCTCCAAGGAGACCAGAACACCATGCCTCCCCTTGAAAAGGTTGTGGACAGTAGGAATTGGGAAGACTGGAAGATCCTGGCTGTCCTAAAGGCAAAACTGTGCTGCAAATTTGGGGAAAGTTTATCTCACCATTTAACGATTGACTGAAGTGTTTTTCTGTGAACAGTTTCTGAATCTACCTGAGGACACCAGGCTTACACCATTCTTCTTTAAAAACTGTTAGATCCCATAAATTAGCAGTTAACACTTCAAATCTTCAAGGGAACTTAAAAACTATTTTCATGGGGATGGAATAAGTGACAAAGCAAAGGTATTTTCAAGTTTATTTTATCATTTGCAAAAGGAAATACATAAAACAATGGCGTTTGGCTTTGCTAAATTAAAATAAAATGATCTCAAGTAGAAAATATAAAAAAATGAATCAAGATAAGAAACGGTGCCAAACACTCAATAATAAATAAGCTTTCTAACATTAACAAAGCAAAATAAAATTGACCAAATGTTTTTGACACGACTAGATGTGTTTTTATTTTCATTTTTAAAACAAACATTTGCAAAAAAAGAGTTTAAAGATTATAAGTGGCTGTGTTCAAAATAAAAACGGGTCTGCAATTGGCAGTTGAGTTTCTCCTGGAGCCTCAGCAGCAGCGACAGTTAAGGTGCGGGCGCCAAGTTTCCTGAAGGACGCCAACGTTCTCGTGATCGGATATCCGTACTGAGTATGTTCCTACACTAAAGAAACCCTTAATGGTCCCGGTTTTCTATCAATTCCATAATCAAAAGCTAATCACTTTGAAAACATGACTTTGCGTTTCATAATGCATTGGGGAAAACAACGTCGGAAGACTGACTTTTCCACTTGTAAGTGCGCGCAACACACCGGCATGGATGTCCAGGACATAAATTAAACCCAAACTAGCGACAGAGAAGATGCGACGTTTTAGCAGCGTATTGGCAGCAGGGTCTATAACAATGATGCCACACATGGGTACACATAATTATACCGTGTCTATCTACAGGAGAAGCCGCAGGTGAGAGGAAAAGGCAAAAGTTTAACAGCAAGTTTTCATCAAACAATGTGGACCATGGGAAGTTTGGAATAGCGGCGGCATTTGCAAACCATCAAATGTAGCTGCCATCTGAAGCCAAGTCGTTGCTAAACAACGACCATTACAGAGCAAAAATTAAAGGGTGCGGGATCTTTAACCGCGGGGCATCTTGCGCACTGGGAAGGGGCAGTTTTGTTTCTGTCTCAGTTTCCAGGGTTTGTCACCTTCCTAACTTGCCTCATCCGAGTCACTGTAGTGGGAATGGGGGGAAAATTCTCCGTCGCTTCTGTGGGACCTGGGCGAAGTTTTGCTACTCTCATCCTGCACTGGCTGTAGGATGCCCCCGGGCAGTGAAGGCGACAAGTTCTTTTGCGCCATCATCGCTGTTAGGGCGCTGTCCTCGAAAGTTGAGAAGTGCAAAGCGTCCAGCTGCACCGAGTAACCTCCCGCGGAGACCGGGCTGGAGAAGCGAGTCCGGCAACTCCCGGGCGGGGTGGGTCGCTGCCCCCCTCCGGAGGTCTGCGGAGCCCCAGCTGCGGCCGCGGTGCCCGCACCCCCTTCATAGGAGGCGGCAGCGCGAAGGTGGTGGTGGTCACTTTTGCAGGAGGCTGGCGGCGGCGGAGGCTGCTCTCCGCCACTGGGCGTTTGTAGCAGATCGGACAAAGCGTTGATGTAGATCTGGGCCATCTGCAGGGTCTCGTATTTGGACAGCTTCTTGTCGTTGTTGAACGACGGGATAACGTTGCGCAGCTGGTCGAAGGCGTGGTTCAGCCCGTGCATCCTGCGCCGCTCCCTGGCGTTGGCCGCCAGCCGTCTTTGCTTCTGCACTCCATTCACCTGTTTGCTGGAAGGGGCTCGCTGGCGGCTGCAGCCCAGTTCGTCCACCACCACCCCGCCTTTCAGCTTGCACAACTGTTCCCGCACTTTCACCGGGCCCGGGCTCTTATTGAGGCCACCGCCGCCGCTGCTGCTCCTCCTTACCGACTCCCCCCGGCTGTCTGCCTCGTCCTGAGGCGCCGCGGCCACGGAGGCACCCAGCTCGGGAGAGTGCAGCAAGTACTGGGCGGCGCGTGCCGTGCAGATGCCCTGCAAAGTGGGAGCCAGCCAGGCGCGTGGGTCGGTGCTGTCCAGGAGGGACAGCTCAGCCGGGTAGACTGGATGCTCTCTGGTCTGCAGGGTGGCAGGTGGCTGTGGCGGCGGTTGTGCGAGGTGGTGAGGCTGGGGATGGCGATGGTGGTCCCCCAACTCCTTCACCTCAGGCCAATCTTCTGCATGCAGCAGGCGGGACATTGCACTGCAAAGGCTCGGAGGTGCAGCGTCGGAGGAGGCACTGACAACCCAGTTCAACCAAGAGGGGGGGGAAAAAAGCAAAACTAACCCCCACCCCTCCAAAAAAATTCGTGGATTTCCTCTGCAACGTCTTATTTTTTTCTCCTCCTAGACCCTCCCCCACTCACTCGGAGATCACACACCAGGTCGCGTGCAACGAAGCTTCTCCGGTTGCTGAAGCGCTGCGCCCCTTTAAAAAGCGGCACGCGCCAGAGTGTCTCCCCCCGCTCGTCTCCCAGCCCCCTCCTCGCGCCAGTCGCGTGTCTGCTCAGCCAATGAAGGGCGCGGGCAGGCGCGTGCGAGCAGCCAATCAAAGAGTTTTTACACCCAGAGAAAAGTTCCAGTGCGCACAGGACTTTTTTTTCTTCCTTCTTCCCTCTTTTAAGTTGGCGAAATTCATATGTTAATTGAGGGGCTGTAATTCGACTCCGAGTGTGTCACCGCCCTAGGGCAGGGGTGCGTGAGCTGGTGCGGAGCGCGCTCTTGGCTGATGTTGGTGCAGACCTGGGTCAGACGTGCGCCACCGCGGGCGGCTCCCGGCCAGGCTGGGCACGCCCGGCGCCTGTGGGGCGCTCACCACGGAGAAAACCGCGTCTGCCCTTGCTGTCTCCAAGCTAGGTCACAACTTCCAACGCTTATTTCCGACCGTTTAAATTTTCTCCTAGGCAATATGATGTCTGATACATGGAAGTGTGTGTAAATCTCACATCACGTGGGTGTTCATAGATACATGCTTGCGAAGTGACGTCTCCCATTGAAAACAGAAGGAAAACGCTTGTCTGTCTCGGAACATAGTTCTTACTTTTACTGCGTCTTTGCATCGCTTGCTCCAGGTCTTAGTTCGTCTTTATTATGTAATCTTTTTTTTCTTAATAGGGAGTAAAGCTGCAGTATAGTTGTGGGATACCAAATTTCGGACCTCCCAACCCAATCCTCTCCAAGAGGGTTCCCCAGGAACAGAAGGCCAAGCTCTTCATAGAGTATAATTTGGGGACAGAATATCGTACAGTATCACGCAAAGAGTTTCAAAACACACACACACACACACACACACACACACACACACACACACACGGGACTTCTTACTGAATGCAACGGCAAAGGAAGGTACCCAAATGAAAATGAAAGGGACTGCGTTCCCTGCGATTTTTAGCACTTTCAAACCCCAGAGCCAGGGTCATCTCCCCTTCTGCTTCGGGAGCCTTTGGCTGCCTACTGCGCGTGGTGTCTTCGGCAAATAGCCAGAAACCACAGCCTAAATCACCTCTCCCTCTGTTTAGTTAGGGTGTGTACTCCCCCAGCATGAAACTCGGGAGGTCCTGAGAGAGGGTAGGACGCCAACCCCCGGTGACACTCTCCTCCCTCCGCGGGAGCCTGGGTTGCGCAGGTCTCAGTAAAGAGCCAATCAGAAGCTCCGCGGCACCCAGCACGCCCCGGCTTGCGTCCTGCGCACCCCAGCTGCAGGCGCTCCTTTGCACAGCCCTTGGGGCTGGGCGCAGGAGTGGATTGCACCCAGTTGCTTCTACTGCATCTTTCCCCTTTCCAGGTGGCTCTTGCACTGGCAGGTGTTTCGTCTGCTGGGAAAGATGGTGCAAAGAAAAACCAGCATTGAATCTGTCTTTGCAGGGTCCGGCTGAAAATGTTCTCCCTACTATTAACCAGGGACTCGATCCAGTTATCTTGTAGAGCTCACTGGACAGTATTTCAGCGACGTGTGTGTGTGTGTATGTGTTTGTGTGTGTGTGTGTGTGTGTGTGTGTCCCATAAAGACACAGAAGGATAGAACAGAGTGCTAAAATGATGTTTAATACATCATTTGTCACTTGTTTCTTCTTTTACCTTGTTTTTTTGCTGGTGTGTAGGTACTGTATACTCCTGGGCCTTCCGACTTTAAGAACTGGAAAGGTCACAGCTGTAATTTTATGTGAATGTTTAGGCCCTGCTGCGATAAATATGTGAAATAACGGCAGGCAAACCCAGAACAACCCAAACTTAATTGAAATCCATCCGTGAGAATAAAGGGAAAATCATCTCGTTTCTTTTCTGGAGACAAAATTCTCCAGTCCGGCTACTATTGAAATCAAGTAATGATGCTGTTACTACACAGTGTTACTCCATCAAATGTGCTACTTCAAAAAATTGCTAATGGCTGTGGGTATCCAAATGAAAATTTCAGAAAAATGATGACCATTATCTGTGTATGTATGGCAGTGAAAGCAACTATGGCCCAGCCTGTTAGTCATCTACCTTGTATTTTATTCCTCATTCCTGTATTTTCCCAACTGTATCAGCTGAAAGTTACTCCTGGAAAATTTTCACATACTGCACTACCAAGTGGGTGGTTCAGATTTTCCTTAAATTTGCACATTCCAAACTTATTTGTACTTCAAACTTGATTATATAACTGCAGAACATTTTTTCTGAGCTTAGTTTATAGGTTGTAGTCAGATATTTGCTGAATACACAGAATTCAGGTCCTAATTACCAGCTTTCAATAAGTCAGTATTATAACTTTTCTGAAACAAATTTCAATTTTTAGGTGAGTATTCAGAATGCCCCAGGAATGTATGTTTCTGTAATTTATGATCACTTGCATTTCTTTTGCCCTTAAAATAAGTAGAGAGCTGCTTTTCTTTTCCCTTCCTTCCTCTTTATTCTCTTCTGTTAGGTGAGGAAGCTAGGCATCTGAGATGGGGAATGGGAAACAGGGCCCTGTGCATAGGACTGGAGCCTGGGAGATGTGAGCAGGTTGTCCCTTAGAAGATGACTATTTGAGGACAATGAGAATGGGTTTCTCACTATCAGAGAAAGGAGTTACAAATATGGAAATAGAACAAGCTATGTGTTGGATTAAAATTGATTTTAAAACAATTGTGGTTTTCAATGCATGTGAACAAATGATATTGGAAAAATATATATATATGTATATTATGTAGTGGGTGTACCTATGTATATTTCTATGTATATTTTTTTCACTCTCAGAGTCTGATATCAGCCATGAGTGGATCTAATGCCCAGATTTTAGTTCCCAAATAAAGTTCTCCATCAAAAGGATAGGGTTTCTGGGAAAATGGTTGGTTCCAGGGATCTGAAAGAAAAAACCAAACCAAACAAAAATGCACCTGAAACATCTTACTGTGTCAGAAACAAGGAAGTGCTCAAAGAATGATGGAGACATGTCAGAAGACCAAAGAAGCCTCTTAAAATTGCCTCTGCTAACAATGTATTTTCAATATAAAATAAGAAATAATAGTGATAGACTACCTACCACTGGAAAATAAAGGATTCAATAAATCTTTATTAATACAAACAGAATGAATAAATACATTGAAAGATCAATAAATATTAGTTATGATTAATATTTATTACAAATGAAAGAAAACTGACTCTATGGCAGAGGCTCTAATGTCAACTTAATCAAGTGATCAAAGTTCACATCACCAGGAATGAGACAAAATGAGTTTGCATGCCATTTGTTGGGATGTAGAGACACAGCATCACTTCTGCGATATCCCCATCAAAGACACCTACCCTGAACCAATCAAGAGAAAAAAAAATCAATCCAATTCAAACTGACAGACAATTTAGAAAGTTACAAGCTTATAACTTTTAAAAGTGTCAAGATTATAAAAGACAAGCAAAAATCTCTGGAACTAGTCCAGGCCACAGGAGGATAAAGAAACAGGATAACAAATCTGATACCAGATTCTAAACTGGGTCTTTTCCTCATAAAGAACTTCATTGCAATGATTGCCTGAAAAATAAATGATAAAAGTTAATTTTCTGATTTTGATAGTTATATTGTGGTTGTATAAGAGAACAACTTTTTTTAGGGAATACTCACTAAAATATTCAGGAATAATGGGGCAGCTCACTCTAATCGTTTTATAAAAAGGTTCTTTGCACTGTATTTGCAACTGTATTGCAAGTTTAAGATTGTTTCAGAATAAAGAGTAAATAAACTCAACAGGACTATTTAGTTTTCTCTTTATATCTCTAGAGATATGAATTCAAGTCAACTCAAGAATTTTGCCCAGTGTATTGAGGCCTGTAGTTATTGTTGAAGCTAAGTTAATTTTTACTTTGTCTAGGCAGCCATAGTAAAGGTTATAGCTAAGGGGTTTATTAATTCTCAGGCTTTAATGTTTATCTCAATAAAAATAAAATATTCTTAAGAAGTACAAAAATTAACTAATTAGTTCTTTTAGCAGAAGAATTTCCAAGTTAAGATGAACTCTAAGCAGTATCTTGATCAGGTCCCAAATATTAACAAATAAACACGAAGAAGATTGTTTTTATCATTGATAGTAGTCTTATCTTAAAATTGACAATTAGGTTTAAGAATTAAGCATTTATCTCGTAATTCCTATATGAACTGTATTTTAGAGTAACCAAATAGCCTTTCTTGATGAAAAATGTCTTTTCAAAATAATTACGTATAATAAAGGTAGAAAAAATGAAGATTTAGAAAAATTAACATTTTGCAACCCATAATGAAAATTTTTATTGAGATTATTATTAACAATAAATGAAGCAATTAGATCAAATTTTGTAGGACAACTTTACAATGGAGGATCAGCCTGTCGCCCCTTGGAGCCACTGATTCATCTTAACATTGCTTAGAGGAAAAGACCCTTTATCATGTGCTTAATAACACAGACAAAACACAGAGACCCTATGAAATATTCTTTAAAAAGTAAATCTGAATTTATTTAATCCCTTGACATAACCTGTTACTGGATGTTAAACAACATCATAAGAATACACACAGAGAAAAAAACAAGCTCACAAGTAACATTCTATGGAATGATGTCGAAGTTCAACAAGTTTGTGACAAAGAAAAAAGGAGGGAAATGAGAGGGGGCTGCTTTATTATTATTACTTTATTAGCATATAATAGTTGTACAGGGGGATACATTGTGAGATTTATATATGTGTTTAAAACATATCTAGTTGGATTCCCTCCCATTGTTATCCCTCTTCCTCCCTC